CTGAGGAGGATGAACTCCTAAGGTTCGCAACAGTGCCTTTAGCCATAGTAGTTCACTAACAGTGGATGCCATTGCTCTATACTCAGCTTCAGCAGAGGATCTTGATACAGTAGTTTGTTTCTTAGTTTTCCAAGAGATTGGGGAGTTGCCGAGCATGGTGATGTAGCCTGTAGTGGATTTCCTTGTCATCGGGCAACTAGCCCAATCAGAGTCACAAAAGGCAGAGAGGTGAAGTGAGCTTGTTGACGACAAGAAAATGCCTTGGCCTGGGGAAGATTTTAAGTAACGTAAGACTCTCATGGCAGCATCCATGTGGGGCTGTTTGGGTTCCTGCATAAATTGACTTAAAATATGAACAGCATAAGATATATCAGGTCGAGTTATAGTCAAATAGATAAGTTTTCCAATGAGTCGACGATATTGTATAGGATTGGATATGGTGCGACCCTCATCCCTGTTAAGTTTGAGCTTTTGCTCCATTGGAAATTTGCAAGGCTTAGCTCCTACCATCCCTGATTCCGTCAAGATATCAAGAGTGTATTTTCGCTGACAGAGAAAAATTCCAGATCGATGTCGAGCAACTTCAATACCAAGAAAATATTTTAATTTTCCTAGGTCCTTAAGGTGGAAGTGGGCATGTAGAAAATCTTTCAAACTTTGACAGAGGGAGGAGCTTGTACCTGCAATAATTAAATCATCGACATAGACTAGAACTGCAAGAAAATTATTTCCATCATTGTAAGTAAAGAGAGAGTAATCACTTAAAGATTGTTGAAAACCGAAAGATTTTAAGGCAGAAGCAAATTTTGCAAACCAATTTCGAGATGCTTGTTTGAGCCCATATAGGGATTTTCGTAGACGACAAACTCGTTGCTCTCCTTGATGACCATAACCGGGAGGCAATTTCATATAAACTTCTTCATCAAGGTCACCATGTAGAAAGGCATTATGTACATCTAATTGATGTAGTTCCCAGTTGCGGATGGAAGCCACAGCAAGCAAACAGCGAACAGTAACTAATTTAGCGACTGGGGCAAATGTGTCATGATAGTCAATCCCTTCAACTTGAGTGAATCCTTTTGCAACTAGGCGAGCCTTGTATCTCTCAATTGTACCATTAGCATTGTATTTTATTTTGTATACCCACTTACAGCCTATGGGTTTCTTATCAGGAGGTAGCATCTCCAAAGTCCAAGTGTTATTCTTCTCAAGAGCATCTATTTCATCTTTCATTGCTTGTCTCCATTTGGGATCTTGCATGGCCTGAGAAAAAGATTGTGGCTCATCTTCGATAGAGATGGCAGCTAGAAAGGAGCGGTGAGATGGACTAAATTTTTCATAGGAAACAAAATGAGTGATCGGGTGTCGTGTACCTGGAATTTTTGTTGATTCACTTACTGAAGTTTGAACCCCATTCAAGATGTAATCAGTGAGGTAGGCAGGTTTCTTTTTCTCCCGTTGAGGTCGATGTGCTTCACACTGGGAATTATTTTCAACATGCCTTCGAATGGCTTCTACACCATGCTCTGGCCCATTTATGTCGCATGGGTTCTCGCATGGTGCAGTATGTTCATGAACTGGGCTGGTGCAGGGGCTTGATTCTTGTTGCCCATTTAATTTGGCACATGTGGAATGGCCCTTTGTTGCTAATCCATCATCATCAAAAAGAATTGTTTGTGGGATCCCAGTTTTTTGCTGAGAGTTTAATTGCTGTAAAGGAAACATATTCTCATAGAAAACAACATCACGAGAGACAAAAATGCGATTAGTGGTCAAATCAAAAACACGATATCCTTTCTTACCTTGTGGATAACCGATAAAAATGCATTTTGCAGATCTAGGAAGGAATTTGTCATGTGATATAGAGTCACGAGCATAACATAAACAACCAAATACTTTAAGATGTGTGTAAGATGGAGACTTACCAAAGAGAAGTTCAAAGGGAGTCTTACCATCAAGTAGTGGTGTAGGCGTGTAATTGATGAGATATGCAGCTGTGAGTACACACTCTCCCCAAAAAGAGATAGGTAAATTGGCTTGAAAACGCAATGCTCTTGCCACATTCAAGAGGTGTCTATGTTTTCGTTCCACTACTCCATTTTGTTGTGGTGTGTAGACGCAAGTGGTTTGATGTATAATGCCTTGAGCGTGGAAAAAATCCTGCATAGGTTTAGAAAGAAATTCTTGTCCATTGTCGGACCTTATTTGCTTAACCTGCAATCCAAATTGTGTTTTGACCATATTGATAAACATGATTAAATAACGATAGACTTCAGATTTGAATTTTATAAGATATACCCATGTAGCACGACTAAAATCATCAACAATGGTAAGAAAATAATAAGCTCCAGAATGAGAAGGAGTTTGATATTTGCCCCAAATGTCACAATGAATTAAAAGAAAAGGGGATTCAACTCTTTTATTACTAAGAGGAAAAACATTCCTAGTTTGCTTTGCTCGATGACAAGCATCGCAACATTCAGGAAAAGTCTTAAAATCAAATGAGACTTTATTAGATAGTAAAGAAAGTCTATCAAAGGAAGGATGCCCCAATCTTTGGTGCCAAAGCTCCATCGAAGGTGGGGTAGTTACATTTGAAATAGAAACTGCTTTCAAAGGCTTGAAATAATAAAGACCATTACGCATTTCACCCATCCCAATCAGCTTCCTCGTTGTGAGGTCCTGTAATATGCAAAAGGTTGGTAAGAATATTACAGCACAATTTAAATTTTTAGTTATCTTGCTGACAGAGATAAGGTCACAGGTAAATTCAGGAATATAAAGAACATTATCAATAGTAAGATTTGGTGCAAGGGAAACTGATCCCGTGCTTTGAATTGGAACAAATTTTCCATTTGGAATTTTAGCATGTTGATTGGAATTTAAATGATGTATGTGCTTAAATTTATATTTGCAACTACTAACATGATCAGATGCACCACTATCCAATATCCAATCACACAAGTTCATGAACTTCTTACCAGAAAAGTCATCTAAGGAGAGCTTCTTTTCAGTACCAAGTAATGAGATCAGTTGGTTCACTTGATCTTGAGTGAGTCCAGAAATCATAGGTGCAGCATTTGTGGGTACTTGTGAGACCTGATTCACGACTTTGAAATTCCCTTGTCTTGGAAAAATACGCCTTCTATCCTTCTGGTTGCTGTCCATCTTGATCCTTGTATTATTGTCCTGTTGTCCATCTCTTGGTGGGTATCCTATCAACTTGTAACATGTCTCTTTGGTATGGCCTGACTTTCCACAATGATCACATAATTTTGGATTTGCACGAGGCTTTGATGATGAACCCATGGAATCAAGCTGATTTGCACGATGATTTAGATGTGATCTCACATTGAAAGCTGCAGCTTCTACATTTGTTGGCCGTGAGGCACAAAGAGAAATTTCTCTTTCTTCCCGTGTAACTAAGGCATATGCTTTGCTAATGTTTGGGAGGGGTTCTGTACGCAAAATATGAGATCGAACACTACTAAAATTATCATTAAGTCCAAGAATAAATTGATGTACCTTTTCCTCCTCCCTTGCCTTCAAGAAATCCTTAACCGCTCCACAAGTGCAATCCGGAATTGGAGAGTATGAATAAAGTTCATCCCATATGGCTTTGAGTTTGGTATAGTAAGCGGCTACAGAGAGATTCTCCTGATATGTGACAGCCAAGGCCCTCTTTAATTCATGTATTCTAGGTGCGTTCCCTTGAGAAAATCTTTCCTTTAGATCTATCCATATCTCTCGAGCAGTGTCTGCATAAGCCACGCTCCCATGTAATTCAGTTGAAAGAGAGTTATATAGCCAAGAGATCACCAACGAGTTGCACTTTTCCCAGTGACTGAGATCTGCAGATCTATTGGACGGACGAGACAAGGTTCCATCAACAAAGCAAAATTTATTCCTTGCCCGAAGAGCATTAGTCATAGCTCTCACCCAAGTGGAGTAATTTGCCTCATTTAATGGGCTGGAAACCAGGTTTAAACCTGGATGATCAGAGGAATGGAGGAAATAGGGCGAAGAGGAGTCAAGTACAAGCAGGCCTTGGGTTTGGCTTTCTTTGCCTGGAACTTTACCAGCAGCGGCAGTATTTTCCTCACCCATTGTAATGGCGAGGTCAGTGTTTCTGAAAAAAAGAGATTAGGGATCAATGCTCTGATACCATATAGAAAAATATTGCCTTTTTCCTATTTGATTTGCTGAATTTGTACAGTATATATATACAATATTCTAACGGTATAATGCAATTGCTAATTAATTGCTTTCTGTAATTGCTTCCTAGAATCCAGGTCTTAATTGATATGCTGCGATGGCTGTGCTGTATATGTAGCTAATATTTTGGAATGATGATCACATCCCTAGCACCATTTCCAACACTAGCCGCATTTGCTGTGTCAATTGTCACATCATTATGGGTCTCAGCCTCTAGAGTGGATGTTGTGCTGTCAGACATAAAGTTCTACAAGTGGAGATACCGGAGCAATCCATTCCAAAATATGCAATGAACACCCTGAGTCGCCCCTGAACTCCATCAGTTTTTACTGCAATATAGAGGATTGTGGATCAAACTGCCACTGCACACGATTGACAGATGGTTCTTATGTATGGAATAGGTTGGCATAAGTGAGGAGCTTGAACCATGAGAGGATGGATACAGACATTATTATACTGTCTGCAATATGCGTGCTGTTTGCCAGCCTTGCCTTTGTCTTCTTTGTTATGCTCAAACATAACTCCCCACCACTGTGTAAAGTAATGTGATGCATCAGATAGAAGATAGAACATAATTTTAGAAGAAGCAGTGTTCGATAAGAGTTGGGAAAGAAGAGTAGTCATTGAAGGGAGCTAAGCTAGTGTCCTGAAAGAAAAAGGCTTGCCACATATTATGTTGTTATATTGGTGAATTAACAGAAGGATCCTTTCCATTGATTGATCAGGATAATTCTAATATGTATTTTTGTATTTTTTTTTATTCTAGTTTTCAGTGAGAGGCGGAATTGCTTAATTAATGTAGGCTGCTTCTATTTTATTTCCATTTCTACAATTTTAATGAACAAGTAAGGAGGGCATATGTTTCAGGTATTGGCTTGTTGTTTTTCACTATGGTGCTATCTCCTTTTCTTTTCTTAAGTCATGCCAGGGCTCCTTTCGTCTTTGAGGTCTCTACTGTTAATTGGGGTCCACCATCTCAACACAGATAGTTCCTAGCGACGGATGGATATCCTACACTGATTTAAGCTTCTATAGATCAAAACACATGATCGGTTTTTGTGTTTTTGGTTGCAGGAAAATATAACATTTTTCATTGGAACTGTTTAATGGTATACGACACTAGTCTTCATCTAGAAGAGTGTAGGCTCATTCCTCCTCCTCCCCATATTTGGAGTGCAATTTATCATCATCCTTCATTGATAAGTCATTTAATTCTAAATTCTGTGGTAATTTTGGAGAGAAACTTTGTGTTCTGGTTTGTGATTCAGTTAGTGACCATCTTTGTCGATTCATTCTCTGGAATCTTGAATTAAGATGTGTGATACAAGGATTCCTACACTCTTGTCATCCTATAAGCTTAGAGAGTATTCTTCTTTAAATAAGTTATGTATCTTTCTTGTTTCTATAGGAGGAGCTTAAAGAGAAGAGTTAGGGTGCATAATATTGGACTTACGCAATTTGGAAACAAAGCGGATCATCTTCTCGACATATTGTTGGCAAGTCCAATTCTACTGTCGCTGGAATTCCCAAAGCATATTTGGTGGTTCGGTCAGATTACAAATTGATAGCTGAAAGTGCTGCTATCTCTCCAACGGTAGTACAGTCTGTAATCTGACAACACCACCAAATATGCTTTGGGAATTCCAACAAGGGCATACTTATTCTAACAAGGGGAGGAGCTGGAATGAGTCTACAATCTTCCAGACGAAGAGTTGTTTACACCATAAATTGTAAAATTTTAAATTAATGCCACGTGTAAAATTTTTATTGGCTGGAGGAGTTTGAGCCATGTTAGATTCGGATTCTGGGTCTAAGCACATGTGTTGGCAAGATAGGAGAGGTAAAGATAATGTTTTATGGAGTAATTATCTTCTTGAAACAGAAAGAGATAATGGTAGCTGGAAAATAGGGGAAGATCACAGTTAAAAAGTGGATTTTATCTGATAAAGTACAAGTGGCGAAATCTGAAAGGGGATTAGACTAGGTCAAAAGGTGAGGTATCCCACTACTCCAAAAAATCACCCATGATTGAGTAACTACAGAAAGTGGAAGTTACAGCCGGCACAAGAAGAACAAAAAGGAAATTTTGGGAAAAAGAACAGACAGCCAGCCCCACTCAAACATCTACAAATTTTCATACTTTGATTTTCTCTGCACATGCTTCCAGATTTTGGATTTCAGCACAGATTTCGGATTTCAGCACAGATTCCATTAGAATTAGGTTGTTTTTCATCATTCCAGTAAACAAATTAATTCCTATATTTAGTTAAACAATTTCCTTTCATGCAATGAACTTCAATCCTTCAAGTTTATGTAAGGTATTGTTTTCTTTTCATTTGTAATTAATTTAATGTTTATGTTAAGTAGTATTGCTTCAATGATTACTTATATGGCTTTCATGCTTCTTTCCATCTTCAAGTTCTTCAATTTCTTCACTGTTCACGTTTAATTTTAGTGCTAATTTAGGAGTAAATTTCCAGTTCTGCAGCAATTTAATTCCCGAATCTGTCAATAGATTGCATTTTAATTTTACCATAAGCATGTTTAATTTAGTTTAAGTACAGTTCTTTCTCGCAAGTTTATTTTAAATTACAGGTAATTTAAAATAATTAGGATTTGATAATTTTAAGTCACGGTAGTGTTTAAGTCCTTGAAGTTGTCTAAGGCAGATTTCGTAACCCATTCTGCAGGAAGGTATCCCTCCCTCTTGCAAATCGTCTGAAGGCGCAAATTTCATTTTAATCCAACGTTCTTCCCGCCATCTGCAAAGAGGTCGACTGTGAGGAAGGAGAGGGTCGTTGGGAAAGTCCTCCTTTCTTACTTTCAGCAAAGTAAGTGGCACGCCCGCATCCAGATTTCACACGTACGAGGCCACTAGAGGATTTTTGAGGAAACAAGAGTAGTATTGTATACCGTTAAACAGTTTCCACTTTCTAATAAACTCTCTCGTACTAAATAAATAGATAATAATAAGGTAAAAATAAAAAATATTTATTTATTTACTAAAAAAAAAAAAACAAGAAGGCAGTTGCAAAAGCATGCTCTTCCAACCCAATACTAAACAAGATTATAGACCTAAAAAAAACAAAGCTTCATCTATAATTCAACTCCTAACTAGCAATACAAACAAGATTTTCTTATTAAGTTTCATGTCATAACTCAAATTTTTGTCAAAAAAAAACTATATATTTTAATTATATAATGAATAAATTAAAATTTACTTTAAAATTATCTTAATTAGCTTTATTTTTGTGTTTCAGGTTCGCTAGTGAAAATGAATGAAGCTCGCGTTAGAATTTTGAAGAAAAATGTTAAAATTGGACTTGAATGCACAAATAATGGAGACGAAGGATTAAACGTTAAAATTTAAAAAAAAAAGAAAATTATTGATGTAGACCCAAAATTAAAGCCGAACTCCATCCCATTTCAGCAAACTCATTTTCGGCCCAGTGACCGAAATGGACCTAACCCTTTTTCATGTTTTGAAAGCCCGGGAAGCTGCAAGCTTTAGGTAACGATTTCCCTCTTATCTTTGTTGTTACAAATCATTTTGTAATTTTAGTGCAAATTATTGAAATGAAACCTTAATTTTATCCTGTATCTAAGGTTAGCTTCTGTTGAATGTGAATGTTGTTGGAATTGGTTGATTTTTCAATTGGTATGCACTGTTAGCAGTGGATCTGTTATTTTTTTGTTAACTAAAATTGTGAAGTAAGCTTCTGGAGGACCAACTCAACCTTGGGTTCCCTCCATCTTGGCTGAAAATTGAATCTGGTATCATTGGTGGTTTTTTTTTTTTTGGAATTTTCCGCCGTCTTTTTAGGTTGCCGGAAGCTGCACTTTTCGCCGGCATTGCGCCGGTTTTTGCAGTCTTCCGGTGACTTGGGTTGGGCTGCTAGGCTTTTACTATCTTTTTTATTTTCCTTCCTTTGGGCCAGGCCCAATTCCCTGTTTTTCTAGGGAAAAATAAGGGAGCAAGAGAAAAACCAAAAAAATGAAATGGTTCGAAACCACGAAATAGATTGATCCTTACTTCAAAAAAATATTTCCTTAAATTTAGTTAGTCTAATTTGAGCACGATTAGTATTAATTAATTAGTCTTAATTTTAATTAATTATGATTAGTCGCTGAAAAGCTCTTGCACTTGTGTCGTATCAGCACCGACAGCTACCACAAACCAAGCCTCTCTTCACCGTCCATCTACCGTTCGGTAGGCATGAAGGAGAAGCAGTTTCTCCTCGAGAAAAAATAGAGGATAGGGATGAGAATGTCGGAAATGGACTGAGAAGGTATCTATTTTACTGCCATGTAAAAGAAGTAAATGCGAATCCATATGTTTCTATATTACCTAATTTTGAATTAAAAAAATTTTTCAAAAAAATAAATCATCAAAAGAATATACGTAGGAGCGTTAAGGGAAAAGAGTAAGTTTAAATAAATAGCATTTGATTCTCAATTTTATTGATTTTTCATTTAAAAAAATAATAAATTAATGTCAAATATTGGAGTCATATTGTAATTAATAATATAATTAGTCCATTATGTTTAAATTATAAGATGAATGATGAAAAGAGATTTGAGAAAGGGAGTATTATATGAATAATTACATTATAAGATTGAAAAAAAATCAAAAGGCCTTAATAATTAAAATATTGAGATTAATAATGAAAAAACCAAAATACCTTTAATGAATTTGTACAAAAAATTTTATTAAAGGTAGTTAAATAATTTTACTTGACACTAATACATAGAAGACAGTTCAGAATTGTTTATGGTTGGGCCTGGTTTTAATTGCTTGGCACTATTTGTTTGATAAGAAGGTTGGGAGGGAAACCAATACTAAGGCCATTAGAATTTTAACCAAGATTTTGGTTTGTCTTGTGGATGGGTGGGTGTAATGTTGTGGCTTGTGAAGACCCTTTTGGTGAAGGTGCTTGCATCTTCTTTTCATATGAGCACATATTTTGATAGAATTCAGGATTCATTATTCAATCGGTATGTAATTGAGGTATTTTTAGATCTACCTTTAATTAAAATCTAAAAAATGAAGGAAGAAGAGGAGAAAATTACAAATGAGATTAGTAATCTACAAAATATTGGTGCAACTATTACTTGGGGTAATAATGAGTGGAAGATTGTAGAAAACTCCAAGAGATAATACCCATAGACTCTCCCACTTGCATTCTAAGAAAGAAGATAAAGAAGATCAGGGAATAAGTATTGATCACCTTCACAAATTGAATCCTAAGAATGTTTCTACTTGAAGTATGGAGAGACTGATGAATATAATTTGGCATGGTGCTCTTTCTACATTGGATGAGTAGATACAAGATAGAACTTGTAGGGATGAGTCAACTGAAATTAAATGTGAATATGAGGCAAACTTTGCAACAAGAAAAAATATTTTAGAGCGTTGCAAATCTAGGATCCAAGTTTGTTCTTCCTCTGTTTATGTTACGCTGGTGTCCAAACTAATACATTGTGTTTGTCTATTGCGTGTGTCTTGATTTTTTTAACTCAATTCTAGATTTTTTATTGGAGCTTTTGAAACAAACCTGCATTCGTATTTTGTTTGCCGTGATACTTGGACAGTTATATGAGGTAACAAATTGAAGTTAGGAGAATTTCTCTTCTAAGTCATTCTCAAAAGTAAAGTGTGGCATGTAATTTTGCAGTTGCATGTTTCTTTGTGAAAGTGCTCTAATGGTTCATGATTGAAAGCTAGGGTTTAACTTAGATGTGTATTCCAAACCATTTTGATGACATTAATAACTTCTCAGTTATTGGAAATGAAGTTCTATTTCTCCTTAGGCTCTAGATTTTTTTTTTCCTAATCAACAAATGTATGGTTTGTATTCCTAATGGGGCATAATAATTTTGATAAACTAGCATGATGTGACCAGCAGCCCTGAGTGTGACGAATTTAGACAAGATATTTGCTTGTACACTGCTTAAAGGCATATTTTTGTTGGCTAATTTTATATAGCAAAATGTGAAAAGCCTGCTCATTTTTGTTATAACTCAAATTTCACATGAAATTAGAAAAAAATTTTCAAATATTTGTCTAAAAAATGTATTTTTAATTATTCTTATTTTCGTGTTCCGAGGCTTGATGATCGTGAGAGGGATGAAAGTTCGGGTTGGAATTTTGAAGAGAAATGCTAAAATTTTGACTCAATTGAAGTAATTTGCAAAAGAGGGGACCAAATGTGTAAAAAAGGGCAAAGATTTCCCTATTTGGGGCCTGATTGCATCCAAGCTCAACCCAATTTCCTGCTTTAGACCCACGAAGCCTTCAAACACAAAGAAGAGGGCAGGCCGGAAATTCTGGGAAGCCCTCCCAAACCCCCCAAATAGAGGGATTGTGGTTCACGTTGAATGGATTCCGAATCAGTCGGTCTCTCTCCCTTCTGTCTCTTTGGAAACCCAAACAGAGGAAGGAGATAACTTCCCCACACTCCCTTTCCCCTTCTACCTCTTTGGAAACCCAAACATTCTACCTCTTTGGAAACCCAAACAGGAGGAAGGAGATAACCTCCCCTCACTCGCCCTCCCTTATCATCTGTCCCATCCCTTCCCCTCCCTTTCCGTTCGACACCTCCAATCCAAACAGTACGTTAGGGTTTACTGGTAAACGGAAAGGAGGGAAGCCCTAAGCGGCTTTAGGTAACGATTTTCCTCCTCTCTTCTTTGTTATAGATCATTTTGTAATTTCAGTAGAAATTATTGAAATTAAAATGTTGATTTCATCCTAGATCAAAGGTTGATTTCTGTTGAATTGCCTGAGATTTGTTGGTTTTTCAAGTGCACTGTTAGGTGTAAATTTGTGATTTGTGATTTGTTGATTGATTTGCCTTTTTTTGGGGGGTTTTCTGCATTGTTCTGATTTTTTATTGAGTTGCTGGAAACTGCGTTTTTTGGTCGGAATCTTGCGGGATTCCGGCGAATCCTCCGTACTGTGTAGACTTTCGGCTGGAAACTGGTTTATTATCTCTTGTGGACCGAAAATTTGAAGCTGGGTGATGTTGCCGATCTTTCTGGGTCCTAAACGTCTTTTTTTTTTTTTTAATTTTATTGTTGGAATATTGAAATTTAACTGGAACTCGACCAGAATCCAGCCATGCCAAAACCTGTTAAAATTCCCTGTTTAATCCATTTTGACCTTGTTTCTCATCGCGGGTTATGTTTGTCCGGTTAAATTCCTTTTTTTTGTCTCTTTTGTCAAAAATGAAAACTCATTCTCTCCTATTTGTATATTGTGCAGTTATTTGTTCCATACAAACA